AGGCAGCAAAAGAATCAACACTCAACTCAACGAAGAATCAAAGAAAACATTGTTAGAGCAGATTCAACCATCAGTGTAATTTTTCCTTCAAAACTTTGCCCCGTTATTTCAAAACGTACCTCTCCACATATCCGCCCGTAACACGTACCAAATTTGCAAGCAATGCCTTTCCAATATTCAGCAACGCCCTCATTAGCGACATCGACACTTCTGCAAGTGTAAGGTTTAGTAATTCGCCTTTTTCATATGTGATATCTGTGGGTTATAGGGCAGCTGCAAGTCCTGAATTATAACTTCTGCCTCGCCCTTCTTACACCTCCCATGATCTGCGGTGGAATAAGGTACAGCACCGTCTATGCAGGAAATGACGTTGTCAGTACAATCTCCACCCATAATTCGTTGCTCTAGTACGTCTCCTCACTCTCCCTGTTCTACCTACCATCTTCCTAAGTTTTCCTAATTTCCCAGAAATTTTCCAAGTTTTTTTTTCAAATAACTAGCGTAAAGCGGAGGGAAAGGACCAGTCAACTCCCATCACGTTCTAATTACTTAATACGACAAGCCCGTTTCAAGCGCGCTATATCTCCCTTTCCCCGGCCCCACTAGTTAATGGCGCGGTCAACTTCTGACAAACATTGGCGAAAACGTGGGTAGGACGCGAGGGAGAGGGGTCCTACCTCCTGAACTTCTTTCCAATGTTCCGGTAGTTGAATAGGAGTGCGCTTATCGTCAATAACTCTTGGTGCTAGCCGATGATCATCTTTTGATCACTTACACTCAAAAGCATGTTCCACGATGAACGGATGGGCGGAGACACAACCCCATTGCGCCTTTCTCTTAGGGCACACCCTCGTTCAATCGTGTCAGGACGGATACAGTGATGAGAAAAGCGCAATGGCTATGAGTCTCCGCCCATCTACTCATCGCGGAGTGTGTCTTTGACAGGACCAGCACCCGTTTCCTCACGCCTTTTGCGAGAAATGCGCCAGTCTCAATCTACTTTGATCAGTGACAACAATTAAGAAAAAGTTTAAAATACTTGAGCATCCGTAACTGTTTGGAATCCGGAAATCGTCGCTTTAGCTTCCGAAAAACGACCGGCGTTCCCAGTACAGTCTCTCGCTCAACATCGACGGCAGTCTCCTTGCCTATGAAGTTGACAACGGCCGGAATCAGCACCTCATTAAATGCCGTCTCATCCCACACATCTGATTTCATAAAGCTCGATCCCTCACGATTCTAAATCAAAGGTAGATTGTATGTCAATAAGAAAATATACTCATAAATATGTGAACGGCGCTGCCAGCCGCGAGCAGATGCGATGCGGCTTCGAAACCAATGTTCGATAATTTCAAATGTTATTAAGATGCTTAACACGTTAATAATACAACAAATGCAAGCAGGGCAGAACTACAAGTATGCAATGAGCGCAAATATGGCAGTGATGGATTCTGGAAACTGGAACTATGTAAAGCGGTGTTTTGGTTGCCCACCCCCCCCCCCCCACTCACTAATACTGTAATATACTGTAAGTTACTATAATTACGAACTCGTAAGCATAAAAAGTACGTTAACAAATCACCTACATATCTCGTCTAGGGAACGGAAACGATTTCTCTGTACCAACAGATGAAAAAAGACCAGAATCAACACTGTTTCCCGTATCGCAGAAGGAAATAGAAAAAATGCCAAAGAGAATAAGGAAGCGGGAACTCGTCCATTGTGGGAGGAGAGCACGGTCTGGCTCAAGGGTCTTTACTTAGCTCAAAATTGAACAGGGTAAAAGATCTACCACACTAAGAAAGAGTAAAGGTCACTGATTATACATGTTCCTCTTCAGGGCAAGGCACAACATCGTGGTGTGGGAAAAGGCAGTGTCAGTGGGACAACCCCTCGTCCCTTACCCGTCCTTCTCCTTCCTACCATCGTCCTGAACTTGCTGAAGGTTCTTATCAGTTTTCCAGAAAATTTTCCATTTTCTCCCAAAAAAAACTGCCCTCGAGGGGGTGGAGTAGTTGGGAAATAAGAGGTAGTAGAAATGACCTCTGTAGATGGGTAGCGCCTCCGCGCCGCTGGCAAACCCGTGAGAGTCAAAAACAGCCAAAATTTTTCTTGAGGACAGGAAATTTCTCTCGAGACCAGTTATGACCCCCCCCCCTTACCAACGTGCAAGTACTACTGACGATAGGATACTCCAAGCGACGCTGTACCCTGCTCCAAGGGTGGATCGACAACGGCAACCTCGTGAAAACAACAAAAATGTCATCAAAAATAAAAAAAACATAGGGAAAGCTCGAAGAGAGCAGATTCAAAAAACAGAAGTTGAAATTTAAATTTTACTAAAAAAATAAAATTTCAATCAACGATGACGTCTACTGTACAACAGCGTGCTGTTCTGACTGCCACAAGCGAAACAAACAGCAACTATAGGCTGCCTGTGTCTTATACATCAGTAGATCCAAAAATGCTATGTCCAAAGCGGTTTCTGGCCACGGCTGCAACTTCAGCGCGTTGTCAGCAAATTGCTGTGGCAATTTTCAACGAGCTTTTCACCACGAAATTGATTTTTGATAGCGTGTGGCAAAAAAATCGCCATAACAACCACTTTGTCATGTAAACAAAACACCAACGGACGATGCTTTTGCTTGGGAAGTTGGACGAGAACTGGCCTACGCCCCTCACACCAATTTTGTCCACAACTACGACCCCCCCCCTTTCCAATCCTACCTAGTATCTTGCCAACCGTTCCAAGCTTCCTATCCCTTCGTGGAAGTTCTCGAGAACTTCCCAGCTTTTCCCCAAAATTTTTCATATGGGGAGGGGTTTCGGGTGTGGTATACAACACCATTAAAACGTGAAAAACAACAAACATTTGCGCAGCAGTGAAAAACTTCTTTTTACAACGTGGCTTATTTTTCTCAAAGGCAAATACGACCCTCTCCTTCCCTCTCAACGACGAGCAAATACGACCCCTTCCTCCAACGACCAAGTACCACCCCTCCCCCGCTGGGAATTCCCCAGCGTAGGACGTGCCCTGGCCACTGTTTGTTTAAGCGCATCTAAGGATCGAGAGAACTTTGAAAAGGCAGGAAAATTTTCCATAATTAAAAAAGACATCAAAATGAACAGAAGAGCTCTAAAGTCTACTTTAGTGAGAACAGATTTAAACCAAATCTGATAGATGTTTACTGGCTACTTCAGATGTTTACAAGGTACTTCTGACAGAAATATGATATTCATCAAAGGCGAACAATCAAATCAACAGTCACACCAAGCGAATCTACACTTCTGTTGTCTCGAGAATTAAAAAAGGAAAAGTAGAGCTCCCGTAAAAATCCAAATTTAAACGTATTCCCAAAAATAAGCTCGGTCCAGCCGAAAAAAACCATTGCAAACGACAGATTCTGTGAATGACACATGGAAAACAATCTTGTCATCGGAGTAAAAGTCTCATCAATGAGAGGACTCAGGACTTCCCTATGCCCCACTTAAGTTCCCAAATATACAGTTTTCTAGGCGAAATTTAGCGGGATAGTCGCACTAATTCATAACAACGATACACGCTCAGTTTCAAAAGTGGGATAGAGTCAGTTGAGAGGCCTTACAACGCTTTACGGCTGGCCTGATGATCCTCAGAGGCACAATCCACGCTTGACGCGTAGGCGGAGCCAACTAACCATAGTGCTTTCCTCAATGGTAATCCCTCCTCTTAATCGTCTTGGGGGAGGCGCTCTGATGACCAGGGCAGAAAATGTCGGCTGTCTCCGCCCACATGGCCGACGCGCTTTATGCCTAACAGTGAGCGTATGCATGCATATGTTTTGAGTTAAAATGTATCTTTCCCTCTAATTGTCCAGGGATAGCTGTGGCCAGCTTCACAGAAAAAACGTCTTACAGCTTGTAACAGAACGTTTCCAGACGAGGCGGCCCTCTAGAGAGCGCATCGCGTGATCTGAGCGATTAGTCGCGAAGTATGAATGCACTTTTGTTCCCACTGACAGGGGAAAAGGGTGATGTGTTACATGGTGGTGTCAGTACAAGCCCCGCTTCGAGAGAGGGTCTCTCGGTACTACTGCTCTCTCTTCTCGGTAAGACTCCTCTTCCCCAACACCACTTTCCTACATGTTCTCAGCTTCCTACCAGTTTTTTTTTTCGCGAAATTTTTAGATAAGTTGCTACTTTCACCCCCCCCCCCCCCCCCCCCGAGATTTTTCGCGATTCCGTCGAGTGGGTGGGAGGGGAGAAGGTGAGGAAACCAGAAACCAACTACTTTCAACTATCGGAAATGCTAGTAATATAGAACTTTGCCGGCGCCACCACTAGGCGGGTGAGAGGAGGGGGGACTTTTTCCAACGCGGCCGATTTCTCTCAAAGGCAGGTACGACCCGCCCTCTCCCAACAACGGCAAAACACGACCCCCGAGCGGTCATACTGGCGACCGACGATGCTGTTACCCTGCCCTGATTGACCTCGAGACCGAATAATGGTGTACCATACTTGGCAAAACACTGGGCCTAATATCGCTAGAACCATGTGAGGTCCGTGTCTGAAGGCCTCTGCGCGAAGGTCATCTACGCATTCAAATGAATAGAACTCGAACTGTTCCTCGAATTGCGATTTTGTATGAGTCAAATCACGGGTGTACATTCGTAGAACGTGCGGACAGAAAGTAAGATATCAACAAAATTCAAACGCGAACTAAATCTTTTACATCCCAAGATTAAAAGTCGACAGGATTAAGACAGAAGGAAATTGCTAGACATTTCGGTTTAGTACTTCTTCTGCCTAGCTAACTAATCTCCAGTTTCCAGGTCTTAGGAATAATCTTACCACAATCCCTCTCTAAGAAATTCCTGGTCTCTGAGAAGTGAAAACTCTACTTGATATCGAGGTTTTTTTTTCGTTTTCGCTTATTCGCATTGCGCATAGCAACGTTCCCACATTCAAAAGGCTCCACAATTTTTGAGGAAATGCCTAAGGCACATGGCGGGTCGCCAATGGAAACTTAGTTGTAAGCCCGGTTTCAGTACATGTTATGTGAGGTATTCTAAATCGAAAACAATAAATTTTGCCTTTCATGACCACTTGCCGTACAAACGACTGGAATTGATCAACAATCACTTCCAGTAACTAGGTCAAAATGTCCTTTCTCTGGCACGTATCGCCATCCTCTAATTACTTCCAAAGTTCCGTATTAATATCTTACAATATGATTCTACACGTTAGCTTACCACATTGGCTTAGTGACAGTACGAACGTGTTGTTCTGAGGATAGAAGTAGAAGAGTCGTGTTCCAAACGGTCAGTAGAGAGGTCTGCTCTATTTACCCATCACTCTTCGGATTTCCGGCCATTTTTCCCGAGGGTAGGTAGAGTTTGGCTAGTTTTTCCTCAAGGGTAGGTAGGGTATAGCAGGTTTTAGCAAAGGAGTTGTTCGACCTTTTGAACACGAATATCGCGTCGGCCTCGCCGAAAACTGCCCGACACCCGCGTCGCGGGCCTCGAAACGCAAAGTTTGCTGAAAACTTGTTCCCGGGGTACCCTCACCACGTGCTGCAGCGACAAAACACCTCAGAAAGCCAAATTTGCTACAAACTCGTTCCTTGGGGTGTTTTGACACAATGAACACCAGTATTTTACTAGCTTAGCATGACGAAACGTTGTACATAGGACAAAGGACCCGAGCAGACAAGCAAGACGGGCAAGAGAATCGTAATTTGCCGCGCCGTCGCGCGCGACGTACCGTTTGGCGATGAACGCGGGAAATCCAAATAGTGCTTCAGTTTTAGTTGAAGCAACAGAACTCGTACGAAAAGTTGCATATTTTTTTATTTCTACATATTTCTGCACATAATTCACGTGTTTTTGGGCATTTTCTACACCGTAGATAGCGCTGGAAACATAGAAGCATGAAGAACCTCAGTCAGATACGCTAAGGGATAGCGCGTCGGTAACACACTCTCTCGTTCCTACAATATTCAGTTTCAAATGACTAGGCGAGAGAACTGGCCTCCCACGGCGCGGCGTCGCTCGCCACGCCAGCCAGTGCGGAAACTTACGATTCTCTTGTCATATACCCCAGACGTCGAGATGTGCGACGCCGCTCGCGGCGTAGATGCCTGGCTTTTTCGCTTTAATAGGACGTGAGGCCCATGTTCAGGTGGTGTCCAAGTCTAAAGGAAATTTTGATAAAAACATGGCCGTAAATCTCCGAGAGTG